GATTATCTTCTGTGTCTGTGTTAATTGGTTTCCCTTTTCTTTGTTGAAGAGGGTCTGTGCAATCCTTCTGCCTAGTCCGCCATCTTGCCGGAACTCTATGTAGGGTTTTTTAATGACAGATTTTTTTTTTATACATTATTCTTTAGTGTTGCATAGTATTCCATTGTGTGTATGTACCATAGTTTGGTTATCCATTCTTTTGTTGAAAGGCACCTAGGCTGTTTCCATCTTTTTGTTATTGTAAATAGTGCTGCAATGAACATGGGTGTGCATATATCTGTCTTGTCCTTGCTCTCACTTCTTTAGGATATATACCTAGTAATGAGATTGCTGCATCAAATGGTATTTCTAATTCCAGCTTTTTAAAGAATTGCCATACTGCTTTCCACAGTAGTTGTATCATTTGACAGTCCCATCAGCAGTGTATGAGAGTCCCAATTTCGCCAAATACTCGCCAGCATTTGTTATTTTCTGTCCTGTTGAACTTTGCTATTAGTGCTGGGGCAAGATGGTATCTCGTTGTTTTGATTTGCATCTCTCTAATGACTGATGATCATGAGCATTTCTTCATGGGTTTGTTGTCTGCCTAGATATCCTCTTTGGTGAAGTGTCTATTCATATCTTCTTCCCATTTTTAAATTGGATTGCTTGTCTTTTTGTTGTTGAGGTGTTGGAGTTTTCAATAAATTTTAGAGATAAGTCCCTTGTCAGGTATGTCATTGCTGAATATTTTTTCCCAATCTGTGGGTTCTCTTTTCACCCTTTAGGATTTAATTTTTAGAAGGTCCAAATCATCTAGTTTATCTTCTGCTGTTTGTGCATTTTGGGTTACTCTTGACAGTCTACTTATGTCATAATTTAGGGCCCCTAAGTTTGCCCCTATTTTTCCTCTTGAGGAACTTGATAGTTTTAGGTTTCACATTTAAGTATTTGATCCATCTGGAGTTAGTTTTGTGTGTGGTGTGAGGTACAGATCTTGTTTCATTTTTCTGCAAATGGATATCCAGTTGTGCCAGCATCATTTGTTAAAGAGACTTTCTTTTCCCCATTTAATGGATTTCAGCACTTTGTCAAAAATCAGCTGACCATAGGTTGATGGATCTCTTTCTGAGTTCTCAATTCTATTCTACTGGTCTATGTTTCTGTTATTTTACCAATACCAGGCAGTTTTGACTACTGTGGCTGTATAGTAGGTTTTGAGATCTGGCAATGTGAGACCTCCTACTTTGTTCTTCTTCTTCAATAGTGCTTATGGTTTCTTGAAGTCGTCTTTTATAGTTTTCTTTGTTTAGATCTTTTGTGTCCCTGGTAAGATTAATTCCCAAGTATTTTATTTTTTTGGTAGAATTGACATTTTCACAATGTTCAGTCTTCCTATCCAGAAGCATGGTATGTTCTTCCATTTATGTAGATCTCTCACGGTTTCGTTCTTTTTTTTCTTCTTCATGATTATGGGGTTTATTAGGGAAGAAATAGGTTACAATTCAAGTTTAGGAATGCTCAGAATACAGTTCTTTGATCAGGACTGTCTCCCCTTGGCCATGCCCACAGACATACCTCTCTTGGCCCTTGGACTTTAAGCCTGCCTCTGCCCTGCTTGGGCAAGTGCTCCAAAGCTCTGTTAGCTCTGCCAATAGGTGCACCCAACTTCACCAGCAAGCCTCCTGCCCAAAAGTACTTGCTTCCTCAGTCCGTGGGTCGGCAAGCCTGCTGATATGTCTCGGGCTGGTCTCTTGGTTTTGCTGCCTCTGCTGCTGCTGCCTCTCTCTGCTGCTACCACCACTCTCTGCCATCTCAGCGCAGCGATCTCAAGTCCAAAGGACACATTTCATTCCTGGGTTTTCTTTAGTCTTGATGGTAGTAAGATCCCCCTTTCTGCCTCTGGGATGGCTTTTAAGCATCACAGGATGGCAAAACTGACCAGTCCCCACATTAGAGTTCTGTACATCTTGTTTGCACAGTCCTACCCCTACAAGGGTGCCATGTACCATTTACACTATTAGCAAGCTATCTAGTCCCCTAGGTGGGCCACAAGCACCACAAATTTGCATAGTCCTACCCAGTCATTTGGTGGGAGTTACAAAGACTATGGCTAGAACAGCCATTCAAAGTAATTCATTGCACCACAGTGCTTTATCTGTTCCAGGATCACACCCAAGATATTGCATTGTATTTAGTGTCGTGCCTCCTTAGACTCCTCTTGGCTGTGACAGTTTCTCAGACTTGCCTTGTTTTTGATAAGCTTGACAGTTTTTTAAGTGTTGTGTTAGACTGGGTTCTCTAGAGAAACAAAACCAGTAAAGCTTATATATATAGAGAAAGAGAAATTTATCTTAGGAAAATGGCTCACACACTTATGGAAGCTGGCAAGTCCAAAGTTCTTGGATCAAACGTCAAGCTGGAGGCTTTTCCTGACTTTCACAGCTGCAGGGGCTGAGGAGCTCAAGGTTGGCAGGCAGTATACTGGCTGTTGACTCCAACGAATGACGAATCAAAGCTCTCCAGACCGAATGGTGGATTGTTGACTCACAAACAGTTGTAGGCAGCACAACAGAATCCCTATCTGCAGAAGTGTGTCTCTTTTCCCAAGATGTCCATAAATATACTGGAAGCAGGCCACAGCCCTGAGAAAACTCCCTTTCAACTGATTGGCTGCTCAAAACATATTCATCTGATCCCATCACGGGAATACCCACATCACAACTGCTTAAAACACACAGAATTGTGGTCCAGCCAAGTTGACACACTGCTCCAACTATCACAGGTGTCCAGGTCAGCAATACTGTAGTATGCCCCTTTATTGGAATTTGCCCCATGTTTTTCCTCATGATTTGACTAGGGATTTTACGGTTTCTTGAAGTAGTGTTGTGTAGCTTTCTTTGTACAGATCTTTTGTGTCCCTGGTAAGATTTATTTGATTTTTTTAAGCTATGGATGTTAAATAAATTTTGTGGAGTTGAAGTAACATTTCAAAAGCTAAAATTCTAAATATTTCAAAGTGCTGCTTATGTAGCAAGGAGCTCTGGTAGTGCAGTGGTTAAGCCCTGGGCTAACCAATAGACCATCTATTCCATAGGAGGAAGATGTGGCAATCAGTTTCCATAAAAATTTATAGCCTTGGGAACTCTATGGGGCAGTTCTACTCCGTCCTTTAAGGACACTATGAGTGGGAACCCACTGGATGGCAGTGGTAGCAAGGGTTAATGATATTTTGTCAGCCTTTTGTTTCCTGTATTTTATGTGTTGATCACGTTGTAAAGGAGAATTCAGATGTGTTAGCCACTCTCAGAAACGTTTCCGAGTTAAGAAGCGGCTACTAGGGGTAGATGGGCAACGCTGAAGGTGACTCACACCTCTACAAAGGAACACCAGGCCTGAGCCTAAACTAGTTCAAGGCACTGCTCCCAAGGTTGAGAGAGCGGACTGATCAAACCACGTAGTTCTCGCCTATGGCTCCTCGTCCGCCAATGGTTGCGCGGCCAAAGCGGGGCGGGGCGAGCCTCGAGAGCGCTACTTAACTAGCGGCTCAGTGGATTCTCTGATCTATCGGCCGCTAGATTAGCCCCACGACCACTGAGTTGAGTGGTGCAGGGTCGGGCCGGAACGTCCTCGGAAGTGCCGGATCTTTTTTCCGGAATCATGTCTAGGCAAGAAACAGGCGCCAACGCCGCCTCCAGGGTCGTTGCTTCCCGGCGAGGCTCGGCAGTACCCAGAGCTCCAGAGCGGCGGCCCTCGGAGGAACCGAATAGAAGAGGTCGCGGGGGCCGTAGGGGCGGAAGGGGTGGCAGAGGTGCCGGCTGGAGAGACACTTCCAGTCTCCCAGAATCTTCGGCTGCTAGTCCGGAGGAACCGCCGCTGTGCTTTGAATTGAAGTGCGAGTTGGTGGGCACAGTGATCGGTAAGATCACGAGGATGGGTGCGAAGGGCGGAGAATGGACGGGGGCGGCATATCCATGCCCCACTCTCTTCACATCCAGTTACTTGTCACTTAATGACGAGTAACTCTGCTTGTAATATTTCTAAGACTCTCTGGTGCTAAAATGACTCCATTCTGTGCACTTTTTAATAATTTTTAGAAATTGTATTTTGGGAGAGCAATTTTTAGGACTTATAGGCAGAAGCTATCTAAAGTATGGCAGGTATGGCACGTGCCCTGGGCACCACTTGGAGGGGGGCGCCACGCAGCAGTTTCTATTAACCATTGCAGTGCAATTTTTGTTACTACTGCACTTTCCATTGCCAGCTATGAGAGATCATTCAACAAGTTAAAATTAATACTTCAGTATTTGGGAGCCTCCATGAGTCAAGGCAGACTGTGTGCTTTTGCTCTGCTGAGTGTAGAAAGAGAAGAAACTTTTTAAAAAAAATCACTTCAAGTACGTCATAGACCAATTTTCATCAGTGGAAGCAAGGCAGTTGCAGTTGTAATTTCCATGTAGTGCTATAATGTGTTAAGTAAAATATTAACGAGCTTGACTTGTATTTTTGAGCTGATAGTGCTTGCCGTAGACACTGTTTTCCATAGATATGCTTCTACTTAGAGTACCTTTGGAGCGTCGGTGGCACAGTGCCTAAAGCATTTGACTGCTAACTAGAAGGTTAGCGGTTCAAACCCACCAGCTGCACCGTGGAAGGCAAATGAGGCAATCTACTTTCGAAAAGATTTCCTGCCTTGAAATCCTAATGGGAGGAGTCTATGGCAGTCAGTTTTTTTTTTTTTTTTTTTAATAGTACCTTTGTTTGGACTGCTAAAAATGATCAGGCCTTTTGACAGCTTGAACAACAGAAATGAACAACATAACCTTGTTGAAATTAATCCCTGCTTGACTACCGTTTAGCAAAAGAAAGAAGGTATAGAATACTATTTGTAGGGCTATGCAGAGCATCAGCCATATTTTGCATTTTATTTCTTTAACTCTGTATATGGTACTTTATTTGCTAAAAAATGGGATTTTTTTCCCCTAATATAGCTTGAATCTTACAAAGTTATTTTCTGAAAAGCATTTAAATGATTAGAATTGAGATTTGCCACATTAATTGAGATTAAGACTGAAATGATAAATACCAATATTTTGCCCATAATGTTAATACTCTGAAGGAAGGTTGGGCGATCGACTACTGTAGTGATACTGCCTCGGAAACCCAAGGAGGGGTGGCAATGAGTCAGATCCGACTCGACAACACATAGCAACAACATCAGTGTTAATACTTTGCTTTATCCTTATTATTATTATTTTTTTAAAGAACAGATTTCGTAGCTTATTTCTATAGCAGTCAGAAATGCATTGGCCCCTCAGGATGCGCAATCTCAAAGATCTGAAGGATACTCTGTAAATTAAAACCATCGAGTCTACAGTAAATCACTTAAGTCGTCAGCTCGGTTCTGCAAATACTTATTGAGCACCTATCAAGTGCTGCAGTGCACCCACTTGACACGGGTCTGGATATAGAAGCCCTAGTATCCATCTCTCTGGGAGAAGAGCCTCTTTTATAACCCACCAAGATTTGGAATAGAAAGCTCTTGCTTCCCATTTCATACTCAACTACTCAACTTGATTACAGGAAGTAGGCGCCTTTGGATGCTTTGGAGAAAAACTAGAGAAGGTCTTTGAAGAAAGTAGGTAAATCCCTGCTAGTGATTTCAATTTATAATATATTCCTTTATTTTTTAAAATAGGTCGTGGTGGGTCAAAAATAAGAGACATTCAAAGTACAACAAACACCAAAATACTGGTAAGTGATTTATGTAATATGTGTTCTTAAATCCTGAAAGAGTGTAGTTCATTTCTCATCGAACATTAAATTCAGTCAATTATTAACATACTGGGGAGCTCTGGTGGTGTAGTGCCTAAGGCATTTGACTGCTAACCAGAAGGCTGGAGATTCAAACCCACCAGCCACTCCTCAGAAGGACGGTTGGGCAATCTATTTCCATAGTGATATCACCTTGGAAATCCAGGGAGGGGTGGTTATGAGTCAGATCTGACTCGATGACAGTGGGTTTTTTAATTTAGGTGAATGGCCAAAGTGCTTCAGTTGCCATTCTTTTCAAGAACTCATCTAACCTATGGTCCATTCCAGGTCTAGGTTGTATGACTCTTGGAGGTAAAAATCTTTAAAGATAATGTCTGTGTCCAAATCCTTCTGAAATCCTTTACCTCAAACCTTGAACTATTCCTGCCTTCCCTGTCTCAGTGAATGGAAACATCATTCACTAAGCTCCTAAGCCAGACAGTCTCCTTGGCACTTCTGTCCTTATCAGGCAATTGCTAGGTCTTTTCTATTTCCTTTGCCTCTCAAGGGAACTACCATCATTTAGGTCAGCCTTCCCTAACTGTCCTGCTTCTCATCCTGTTCTCCTGTTTTCCACAGTGACCAAAGCAATCTTTCTAAAACACAGATTGTGTGTTTGTATCCCTCTTCTATTTAAAAACCATTCATGGTATCACAGGCTTTTCAGGAGTCTAGATTCCTTAACATGGTCCTCTTGATCTGGTTTATTTGCCTCTCTAACCTCCTTTTCCCACACTCTATTCCCCTACTCCCTTTTGAACACTGTTTACTGCTTCCTAATCCCCTGTCCTTTGCCAAGGTAATTCCTACTCATCCTTCAGGTCAGCTTACTTCCTTGTTGTTGTCATGTGATGTCGAATTGGACCCAACTGATAACAACCCCTCCTTGGGTTTCCAAGGCGGTATCACTACAGAAGTAGATTGTCCAATCTTCCTTCCGAGGAGTGGCTGGTAGGTTTGAACCACCAGCCTTCTGGTTAGCAGTCAAGTGCCTTACACACTACGCTACCTTTCAACTCTTAGTGACCATATTTACAGCAGAATGAAACACTGCCTGGTCCTGCACCATCCTCATAATTGTTGCTGCACTGAGTCCATTACTGCAGCCACTGTATCAATCCATCTCATTGAGGGTCTTCTCCTTTTTGCTCACTCTCTACTTTACCAAGCATGATGTCTTTCTCCAGGAACTTGTCCTTCTTGATATGATACCATGTCCAAAGTGCATGAGGCAGTCTCGCCATCCTAACGTCTAAGGAGCATTCTGGCTGTACTTCTTCCAAGACAGATTCTTCTGGCAGTCTGTGCTGTATTTAGTATTCTGCGCCAACACTATAACTCACAATGCATACATTCTTCCTTGGTCTTCATTATTCATTGTCCAGCTTTCACATGCACATAAGACAGTTGGAAAGCCCATGGCTTGGGTCAGGTACACCTTTAGTCCTCAAAGTGACATCTTTGTTTTTTAATACTTCTTTTTTTTTTACTTCTTTTTATTTTTTATTTTAAGAGCTTGTTTTACATTCAACGTAACATGTACATTTAGTTTCATTCCCCATTTACCATGTCCAACCCTAACCCAGTCTCCTCCCTTCCCTACCCTGTAACCCTCCTCCTGTGCCCCTCATATTGATTGATTGATTGATTGATTGTGATTTGTGTGAAGATTTACAGAGCAAATTCACTTTCCATACAGCAGTTCACATGTACTTTGTCTCATGTCATTGACCACTGTTTACCATAATGCAACAGCTCCCCTCCCACTTCCTCCCCACAGTTACCTCTTCCTAGTGTCCATCCCTCCATACTCTCCTGCGCCCTGAGCTGTCTCCCTGTGCATAAACAGCCCTTCCTTCTCCCATGATTGTTCTCTCCA